AAAAAATATTTTTATTAATTTGTTTTTTTTTGGGGGGGGGGGGATTAATCAATCATTAGCAAGAGTATGTGTTCGAATTAACGTGACATCTCTCCAGCTTTGGTTGTTTGTTCTTCGGATGCCCAATCATAGCAACAGTTTACTGCAGTCTCTTTGAGAATAACACGAAATAAAGGTTTCTGTGACAGTTTAACAATAACAATGCTGTAGTGGTTACAATCAGAAATACACTGTAGTTGAAGACAATATTTAAGTATTAATAGTCTGTTTAAAAACAATAATACTGTACCGTTTTCAATCAGAAATACACTGTAGTTTAACATAATTTTTAAGTATAAATAATCTATTTAAAAACAATAATACTGTACCGTTTTCAATCAGAAATACACTGTAGTTTAACATAATTTTTAAGTATAAATAATCTATTTAAAAACAATAATACTGTACCGTTTTCAATCAGAAATACACTGTAGTTTAACATATTTTTTAAGTATAAATAATCTATTTAAAAACAACAATACTGTACCGTTTTCAATCAGACATACATCGTAGTTTAACACAATATTAACAGTTTCTAGATCACAAAGATTCTTAGAGTTCATTATAACAATGCCTATTCAAGGGCAACACTCCTTCCAACTCATTTGATTTTTATTTAATTTACAAGAATCTTGCTAAGTCTTACTTGAAGTTCATTCTCAAAAGTATAAAACACCATAACAACATCGACCTTTTAAAGTACGTATATGGTGCACTACAACATGTCATGTTTTAATTTATTTTAATCTTAACATACAAACACAGTATATCAGATAGTACCGTTGAGGGGAAAAAAACGCTTCAAACTTAATCTTACAGAGGTTTCTAAGCGCATACTCAATTAATATATAAACTGTACTTCATTACAAAGTGTCATCGTGACAAATTGGATGAGATTCAAATTTTGAACGTTGACAGTAATTCTTAGATCATATAATCTCAGAATATTATGTCATGTAAGGTAGCGTTACTAAATAATTTGTGTGTGTAGAAAAACAACGAACCAGGATATAAAATATCGCGGTTACATATAAAGCTGATATCGAAAAGAACCGGAATACGTTTTAATAGAAAAATCATATTTATGAAAACTTGGGGAATACAAGGATTACGGACTTTGAATAATGACTGAAGACATGATGCTATAAAGGGGGAGGGGGAGATAAATAAAAGCAGCTTCAGCTTAAAGTACTATAGGTTACATCTATTTACTTGTGACAACAGGCGAGGTCACTGCTGTGCTGCTTTTGTTTGTGCGTAAGGTGTCGCCACCTAGTGAGTAACATAAGGACACAACTGTTAGAACAAATTTTGAAACTTAGGAAATATATTTTAAGACAAAATATACATCGATTTTTTTTTTACAATTCTTCCAAATTAGTACAAGTTATATATCAGATCCTGAGCTTCTGTTACATGTTAATGTTTTAAAATATAGGCGATAATTAGGAAGGCCTGTTTGTGAAGGTAAAAAAAACAAACAAAGGTTTAAAACTGTGTATTATAACAAGTTAACTGTAACATCACCACTCTTAAGATTCCTCTAAATTTGCAATTAAATATTAACAATGAATATTTATATCTGAGACAAAGCTACTAAGACTATTTGTCGCCACCCCAAATTTTGAATTACTGACCAAATGGAAAGCAGCTCCCTACCATCCACCAACACGCAAATGGATTGACTGTCACTTTTATCACGTACCCAAAAGCTTAATTACTGACCAAATGGAAAGCAGCTCCCTACCATCCACCAACACGCAAATGGATTGACTGTCACTTTTATCACGTACCTAATAGACGCCTAAGTACAGTAATTATGGATACTCAGATATCAATAGACGCCTAAGTACAGTAATTATGAATACTCAGATATCAATAGACGCCTAAGTACAGTAATTATGGATACTCAGATATCAATAGACGCCTAAGTACAGTAATTATGGATACTCAGATATCAATAGACGCCTAAGTACAGTAATTATGGATACTCAGATATCAATAGACGCCTAAGTACAGTAATTATGGATACTCAGATATCAATAGACGTCTAAGGCAATTAACACATTTCGATGTTTTCTGGGCTATCTACTCTGGGCACTGCAGGAATTGAACCCCATATTTTAGTGATGTGTTTCCGTAAGCTTACCGCTGATCCACCGACGGACAACACATCTCTGAAAAGTTATTTAAAAAAAAAAGAACACACACACACACAAAGAAATGGTTTGGTTGTTGGATTTCGCGCAAAGCTACTCGAGAGCGTTAGCTGATCCTAATCTAGCAATCCCTAATCTAGCTGATCCTAATCTAGACTAGAGGGAGGAACTAATTCAAATCACTCACCAACTATAAGACCAGTCTTTACCAACGAATAATGAGATTGGCTGTTACATTATAACGCTCTAACGGCTGAAAGGGCGAATATGTTAGGCATCGGGTTTCAACCCCACAGGTTGCAAGTCGAGCGCCACCAGATCATGCTAGGCTCACGAAGAAATGCAAATATGCATAAATACAGTAAACCAAGACCCGATGAAAATAAAAACTGTAACATAAGACGTACATTTTTTTTAAAAGTACAAATCTGTACAAATGATTTTACTGTGCTGTGCCCACAGCAAGGATCAATACCCAGATTTCAGCGTCAGAGCTGGGGGAGATGTACACCATGGCGATGTTGACATTGCGTTGTGAAATTCTTTTCTTTCTGTGACACATTCAAGGATAACGTACGCACAATATGTTCCACTATTAAATTTATTCTAAATCGAAAATGTGTTTAAAGATCAAACAGTTAGGGCTAAGACCACATTACTTTCAATATTAAGAGGCTCAACCCTTCAAAAACTGTGAGCCAGTACGATAGGAACTGGTTACAGCAAAGGTCTCCGTGACTCTAATGGTAGCTTCCTTTCAATATGTAGTTTTAGTTTAGTAAATAATATCAATTTCCGATCAGAGTAAGCAAGCTACGTACTTAGAGCAACACTTAAAATCAACCTGGCCATCAATATGGCTATTTAAATACACTTTTTCTTATGTTTCTACTTATAAAGATTAGAATGCATCGTTTCATGGTAAGTCCATGTATCACACACACGAACACGCGCTAAGGCAAGCAGACATAAAACACGACGTTTCTTCACACACGAACACGCGCTAAGGTAAGCAGACATAAAACCCGACGTTTCTTCACACACGAACACGCGCTAAGGCAAGCAGACATAAAACACGACGTTTCTTCACACACGAACACGCGCTAAGGCAAGCAGACATAAAACACGACGTTTCTTCACACACGAACACGCGCTAAGGCAAGCAGACATAAAACACGACGATTCTTCACACACGAACACGCGCTAAGGC